CTAATGAAAATTGTAACAACAAAAAAATATTAAAAAAAATATTTAAATATATATTTTTTTATGTTTTCAAATATAATTTTTTAGAATATCTTAGGCCCTCACAGAGGGCCTAGAGGGCCCTGACGGCTCGCCACTGCACAGTTTATACATCCGAAAAAACAGAATGAGTAGAAGTGGGAGGGCAGAAAGCATAGCTTAAAAAACAAGTCCATGTTCAGATAACAAGACAGTTTCATCCTATTTTTATATAAGCTATGATAATTAAGATAATTATGATAATAGTTATTATAATTATTATAATTATTATTGTTATTATCATTATCGTATATCCATATCATCTTTTTTTATCTATTTTTAAGTTAAGGCAAAGGCACTTAAAGGCATATAAGACTGTTTCCCATGAAAATGTGGCTCTTTGATTAAATAAGGATGGATTAGATATATACACACTGATGTGTCATTTCACCTTTCTGACTCTTTCAGGTGAACCGACCAATAGGAAAGGTTCAGATCTTCACGGCCGACCTATCAGAGATCCCGCGCTGTAACTGCAAGGCGTCAGACGAGAGTCCGTGTGGGATGGACTCTGAGTGCATCAACCGCATGCTGCTCTACGAGTGTCACCCTCAGGTACAGAAACCAGAACTTCCACAGCCGGTTTAGAGATCTACAGATGGACACAAAGAATAGAATAAGTGCTTTGTGTCCAAGTAGCAGAAATATACATTTAAAATACACGTACATAAAGGGTTGTAATAGTATACCGGTATCACAGGTTAATCTAACATGCTATAGTCTCATTGCATTTATTTCGTTCAACAGGAGATGTACAGCTTTCTTATTTTTTACACCCTCCTTAGTTATTATAATAAAGTGTTCAGCAAGAGGTGAATTTTAGAGACTGTTGAAAACAAAGTAAAATAAAATAATTTGTCCGAAACTGTTCAAGTCACCTATTATGCAAAATGCACTTCTTCATGTCTTTTATACAAACATGTGTCCCCTCTGTGTAAAGAGATTCTGAAAGTTTCAGGAACAAAGATTCTCTCTCTTTTTGTCCTGATCCATTTATATAAAAACCTTTCTGAAAATGAGCTGATCAGATTTTGGCCACTTTATGATGTCATAACGATGTTTTGGCTTGTGTAACCATTAGCCAATCAGCAACCAAGGTAACACTTCAGAGACATGATTGTATATAACTGAGACCTATAATATATTGATGAAAAACAGTATAATGGGGGACCTTTTTAAATCGAAACAAAATGCTGAAAGACGCTGAAATGTTTTCAGGTTTGCCCGGCGGGGGAGCGCTGCCTGAATCAGGCGTTCAGCAAGCGTCAGTACAGCCAGGTGGAGATCTTCAGGACGCTGTCCCGAGGGTGGGGGCTGCGCTGCGTCCACGACATCAAGAAGGTAGCAACACTACTGTCATTAACACTGCTGATACTACTCAGTGTTTGCTTCCCAGAGGATTAATAATGTTAAATGTTTCAGGGTCACTTTGTGAGTGAGTACGTCGGGGAGGTGATCGACGAGGAGGAGTGCCGGTCCAGGATCAGACAGGCTCAGGAGACCGACATCTGTAACTTCTACATGCTGACTCTGGACAAGGTACAGCTGCAGAGAGTGTGTGTTAAAGTGTGTATTCATGAAAAACCCATGAAAAACACTGGTTGAGACGTCAGAAGCAGAAATCTGGTGATAATTGTACCATCGTTTCAAAGCGTTATGTAAAGCACCACCTAAGTTTGTTGCTGTTGCGTGTTTGTGACCAATGATTCAGATCAGTCTCTTGATGTTAAGACAAGGCAAGTTTATTTATATAGCACCTTTCAACACAAGGCAATTCAAAGTGCTTTACAAAAAATGAAAGACATTAAGAAAATGGCTTTTAAAATCAGTCATTAAAAAGCAAAGATAATAACATAAACATTCAAAGAAAAAATACATGGATAAAAGTTACAGCTTCCTCTTAACTCGATGGTACACTGTGTTACAGAGTTTCACGAAAATCAGGGCAGGAGGTTTCCCTGCTGAGAAACACACAAACAAACCAAGCTTAAAACACATAATTATTCCGTAAAAAAGGTCCACATTTGTTTTCGGAAAGATTTAAAAATGAAAAAATGCTTTCTTATTTACATCTTGTGAAGTTGACTTTTAGACTATATCATAAAAATAGTCTTAAATGTATTATTTATTTTACGGGAGAATTATAAGACACGATCAAAAAGGCCATTTGAACTAAACAAGAACCAAGACCAGGACCTCTTTGTGCTAACACATGTTAACACTACTGGTTGGAGATTGCTCCATTAAATGTGTACAATTTTACAAAGAAATTAAGATTTCCCAGATTTGTGACTTCACAGTAGAAACAATTGTCTGTTCTCCATTAAATACCATCAACTTCTGTCCACTGCTGATCAGTCAGACGGGCAAAGGGAAAGTCTGGCCAAAATACCAAAAAGTCTCTGCTTGCACTGGCTATAGCATTGGCATGAAAACAGTATTTAAAATGTGCTGTGTGGAAGCTGCAGTTTCATCAGTTGTGTCTCTGTTTGTTAGGATCGAATCATCGACGCGGGTCCGAAGGGGAACGAGGCTCGCTTCATGAACCACTGCTGTCAGCCCAACTGTGAGACGCAGAAGTGGACGGTGAGCGGAGACACCAGGGTGGGGCTGTTCGCTCTCATCGACGTCGCTGCAGGTAAATATAACCGCTGACATCAGGGAGTTTGGTCAAACATGGACCATTCAATATTTGGTCAACGAAGAACCTTGTCATGTTTAATGGAAACACTGTTAAATAAGAAATTCTGAAGTGGAGGTATTTTGTGTTTTTCCGTGCAGGCACAGAGCTCACCTTCAACTACAACCTGGAGTGTTTGGGGAACGGGAAGACAGTCTGTAAATGTGGAGCTCCGAACTGCAGCGGCTTCCTGGGGGTCAGGCCAAAGGTCAGTGTTTCACTTTTCAGATCAAAAATCTTTTTATTACGTGTCTACAATGCATAGCCAGGGGTTTGTCATTTAGAAATGCAAAGCAAAATGTATGCATATACAAATGAAACAATAGCCGCTTTCACACCAAGTACTTTGCCGTACTTAGTGCCGGCACCTAATACCCCAGAGCTTCTAAGTACCAATCACGTTCACATCGGAATAAGTCCCTGATGTCACTTTGTCTTCTTCTGCTTTGGGTTTACTGGCGGGCCGCAAACAACTTCACGGCGTATACTGCCACCCGAAGACCCCGGCCGGAAGTCCCCGGAGTTGGGGACTGGCTTGGGGAAGGCTTGCTGGGACTCCCAGCAGCTTCTACTGAAGCCTTACGAGTAAATCGCCAGAACGCCGACACCTCCTCATCTCCACCGCTCCCATGTTTTTTTTTGTGTTGTGCCATAAGTTATTCTCTCTCTGTTGGTGCGCGGGGCTAATGCTAATAATGCTAATGCCAGCAAATACAATAGCGGCTTAAAAAAACATTTCAGATTTGTACGGGGCTTGGTTTGCAATTCGCCCAGCCAATTTCTATTGGCTGGGCGAATACTAACGAAAATACTTACGGAACGAAACGGGAAAAGTACTCCGGTGTGAACGCGCCTAAAGGTTTGTACTGCTTATATGTACAAAGGGAAACATAAAGAACAACGGAAAACACAAAGTGTGTGTGTGTGTGTGTGTGTGTGTGTGTGTGTGTGTGTGTGTGTGTGTGTGTGTGTGTGTGTGTGTGTGTGTGTGTGTGTCATGCATATATATTAATTCAACAATATTTCTGAGGCTCACTGGCGGTTTACTTTTATATACAGTAGGATGTTTTTAGATCAATATTACTCCTGCATTCATGTATATTTAGCATTTTACTTCTGTAGATGTACAATAGTGTGCTAATTGCTTTACAGTAGGGTTGTGGGTAGTTTATTCTACAGCAATGCACCAGATATAGTATCGAAGCATTTTACAATTGATGCAAGGCAAATTAGGCTTTTAAAAGTAGATTTTACTTCATCCCTCGGTTCAGAACAGACTTTCAGTGTTGTGAAGAAGTGCAAAGGTGCTCAAATAAAGTAGAAGTATTTTTTAAATGTACTTAAATACTTGAAATTACATTCCACCACTAACTGAGGTAAGACTTCTTATTATGTATTTATTTCAACAAGGACCATGCATACAAATACAT